CTGAATAACTGGCCAATTTAATCAAACGTTTTTTTTTCAGCTGCAGAAACTTTAAGATCCTGCATTTATGAAAATAATTTGAAAAAGTGGGTCAGACATCCAATAATTCAGAATATCGAGTCTTGTCAGATTGAAATTTCCTTTTTAAAATAACATTTAACCAGGTATTAAACTTACTTTATATAAAGCTCAGATTTCCGTTTTAAAATGTCATGGGTCTGATATAATATTCTAATTTCAAATGTCATGTTTTATTAGCTATTAGTGGCAAATAAACTATTTATTAGAATTAAGTTTTCAATCATTTAAATTACTGAATGGGTTTGTATTTTAGATTTCTCTAAGATACAGAGTCATTCAGTAAAAACATGCAATCCAGACTTCAATTAATTTATGTTCCAAATATTACTAGTCAAAACCAGCACTAAAATAATGGGACTTTAGCCTCAATATAAAAGTCCTCAGTGTTTCAGCAGCTTTTTAGGTTTCCCCTCCTTTGCCTGCATTACGCCTGACAGTTCCAGATTTGTTGGAGCTGAATGCTGCTTCTCCATGTCCATCCTGGAGATGTCCTTTGGGTAATAGAAGGCCGACTTTGTGACTGTCTTTATGTGACTCTGAAGGTTCAGGTCAGAGTCCATCACTAACTTAATAAAGTTGTGTTACCTCTCCACACGGATTTGTCCTAAATCCACTTTGACTGGATTAACATTCACCTGAGGATATTGTAAAATAGAGTTCAATCAATCAATCAATCAATCAAATTTTATTTGTATAGCACATTTCAGCTACAAGGCATTTCAAAGTGCTTTACATCATAAACACAAAACACAAAGGCATGCAACATAGAATAAAAATACCAAGTTTTCTTTTTCTTTTTTTTTTTTTTTTTTTTTTTTTTCCCCTTCTTTTCCCTTCCTTTTTTTTCTTCTTCCCTCTTCTTTCCCTTTCTTCCCCCTTCCCTTTGACACGGAATTTGAGCGCCTGTTACCGCCGGACTCCGCCGTCCGTTTAACCACGGGTATTCGCCGGGCCCCGTTGCCCACAACAGGAAAAAAATTTAAAAAAAAAAAAAAATTACATACATATCCACAAAATCAAATCCATACATATTACATTTCAAATGCAACTCTAAACAGGTGCGTTTTTACTTGAGATTGAAGGAAGTCAGGGCTTCCGCTGCCCTACAGTTCTCCGGAAGCCTGTTCCAAGTTTTTGGTCCATAGATGCTGAAAGCTGCTTCTCCTCTCTTGGTTCTGGTTCTGGGGATCCAGAGCAGAACTAGAACCCGAAGACCTGAGAGGTCTGGAAGGTTGATACAACAACAGCAGATCTTTAATGTATTGTGGTGCTAAACCTTTCAGTGATTTATAAACTAACAACAGTATTTTAAAATCTATTCTTTGAGCTACAGGGAGCCAGTGGAGGGACTTTAAAACTGGTGTTATGTCTCTATCTTCCTGGTTCTAGTGAGAACGCGAGCAGCAGCTTCTGGATCAGCTGCAGCTGTTTGATTGATTTGTTGGACAGGCCTGTGAAGATGCTGTTGCAATAATCAATGTGACTAAAGACAAACGCATGAATGAGTTTCTCTAGATCTGGCTGAGACATTAGTCCTCTAATCCTGGAGATGTTCTTCAGGTGATAGAAGGCCGACTTTGTTACTGTCTTTATGTGGCTCTGGAGGTTCAAGTCCGAGTCCATCACTACTCCCAGGTTTCAGGCTGATCGCTAGGTTTTAGTTGTAATAACTGAAGCTGTGCATTGACTCTAGATCGTTCCTCTTTAGGTCCAAAAATAATGACTTCAGTTTTATTTTTTGTTCAGTTGGAGAAAGTTTTGGCACATCCACACATTTATCTGCTCTAAACATTTATTCAGTGATTGGATGGTTCAGAGTCACCTGGTGACATCGTAATGTAGAGCTGTGTGTCATCCGCATAGTTGTGGTAGCTAATATTATTTTCTGTTATGACCTGAGCTAGTGGGAGAATATAAATATTAAATAAGAGGATTGAACCTTGGGGTACCCCACATGTGACCTTTGACCTCTTTGATGAGAAGTTTCCAATTGAAACAAAGAAATCCCTGTTCTTTAGGTAGGATTCAAACCAGTCAAGCACCGAACCAGAGAGTCCAACCCAACTTTCAAGTCGATTCAGTAATATGTCATGGTCAACAGTGTCAAAAGCTGCACTGAGGTCCAACAGAACCAGCACCGTGGTTCTCCCACAGTCCGTATTTATGGATATCATTGAGTACTTTTACGAGGGCAGTCTCCGTGCTGTGGTGAGCACGAAAACCAGACTGGAAAGAGTCAAAGCTGTTGGTCATCATGAGGAAACTATTTAATTGTTTACACACAGTTTTTTCAATAACTTTGCTGATGAATGGGAGATTTGAGATTGGCCTGTAATTCTGCAGTAGTGATTTGTCCAGGTTGTTCTTTTTTAACAGTGGTTTGATGACTGCTGTTTTCAAGGCCTGGGGAAAAACACCTGATGTAAGCGATGAGTTACTATTTGTGCATCATAGCATGGTTATGGACCACAGTTTGTTTTCTATATTGACTGGACCATGTTCTCAGCTCTCTGCTATTTACATTGTTTACACATGACTATGTCTTCAGATATAAGGAAACCTCATCGTTAAGTTTGCAGATGACACCACAGTGATGCATTGATTAGCAGAAAGAAATGAATCATCACACAGCAAAGAAACTGATCACCTTTAGGTTGGTTCAGACAACAATCTGGTGCTACACAGCCAAGACAAAGCAAATGATCACTGAAGACAGTGTAAGCATGCTCCTCTCAGCACTGGCAGCTGGTCACTAGAAATTAATACTTTGCTTTGAATATCTTATAAGGAATCATTTAGCTGCTTGAATAAAACTCTCAGCGTTTAAGTGTGCAGACTTTATGCACACTATCAAATCAAATGTACTTCTGTCTGTTCTAAGCATACTAAGTTGTGTAGATAATGCAAATATTTCAGTAGTTTGCATTTAAGCCAGACAGGCTCATAAATAATACATACCTTTAATTAAAAACAATAACTATAAATAATGCACGACAGCGTTCACTGTTACATTTTAAATAAAGGGTTCAATAGAATTCATTTTTTCCCTTTGGAGACTGAAATGAGCCTCGTGCTTTACTCTCTCATTTCAGTTTTATATAGTTGAAACCAGAAGTTTACATACCCTGAATATGAAGACATGCAGCTTTTTGTCTTTGTCGAAAGTTAATTCAGAGTAACTTTCTCTTGTTTTTGGTCAGTTAGAACTAAAAAGATTAAAAGGTTATTTCTATTTGTTAAATGCCACAAAGATGAGAGAATAAAACAAGTGATACTTTATTTGACAGGGTGTGGATAAGACTGACATGAACATGATATGAATATGAATGAGTCTTTATGAATTTACCGAATGACAATTAATAAATAATGACACATTTAATGCAAAGTTGTATTAGAAGTCCATTAGTAGTGCCAACATCGTAATATTTTGTAAATAATAACACTTTTGCATTGTTTGAAATCAATGGAAGCCCGTTTCCACCACTCTGTTAAAAAACATAAAATAAATTATGTCATTAAAATGAGATTTTATTTTTATTTTTTTAACAGGGTGGCAGAAATGATGCAATTTGAATGTGGGATGTGAATAAAAACTAAACTGAAGTAAAATGAAGGCAGTTCACTCACAGAAACATGAAAACCATCTGGGCCCTCATTGATCCATGCAGGCCCAGCTGGAGGAAAAGGTTTGAGGATCGTCCACACCTTTCCATGCCATCATGTTCTCCTCCCAGCAGAGAGACTACATTTCCAAGCAATGCTGTTGCCTCCCCATTTGCACGTTGCAGCAACCTTTTATTTTAGGAGCAGATAGTGTAAGAAATAAGTTGCAGTTCTTCCTCTTGACATAGAATAACAAGAACACAGAAATAGAATTTTTTTCCCAACAGTTTTTAAAGTCACTGAGAACATCTGCTGTCGGGTTGCCAGGACAGAAAATTTAACACGGCACACAACCAGCAGTTAGCCTGGAACATCGCAGAAACCCTGAACTGCACAGGGATTTGCTGAGCGTGTGCATGGGTGAGTCACAGCGCATAAATTAGCATGAGTTTACTTTATAAGAAGAATAAACAGAGAGGAAAGCAGGGCAAGTTTGACTGGTGCAGATTCAGGATTCATTTCAGAGGACAGAACATAACTTAAGGACGACTTTCTTCCTTTCTGACTCTGCTTGTTGCTGAGCAGGAAAATGGGAAGCAGAGCAACAACGCTGCAGCTCCTGGATCATCTTAGACATTCATCTTCTCCTGCATCAATGAATCCAAAGGTTTCACCAACAGCCGTCTTTCACAAGAACACTCTGTCAATACATTTTGTAGAAGTGTTGTCATCTGGGTTGTGGGAAGACGAAAACTGACTCTTGAAGCCACATCTACTGCACTTGATGTAGAAGTCAAGATGAACATGTGAAGTCAAACCGATATGAAAGAACAACAGGGAACAACGGCGATAAAAACCTTAACTGAAAAACTGGTATTATGCAATCATGCAGGAAAAGAGTCGTCTCATTCACATCTATAGTTTTAAAAATCAGGGCGTTACAAAGGTGATGTGGCGTTTACTAAAATCATTTTATGATGACCAGATAAGAATGAAAACACACGAAAGATTCCATGTTGTCTTTAGTGTTCTCCTCATTCTATTGATTGAGTTTACATGTGAAAGGATTTAAATTCCCTGTGATTTGGTTTGCAAAAGTCTTTCATGTCAAGACTGGAATCTCAGGTTAGAGCTCCTGCGATGCTTTCTTTCTTTTGTCAAAAACATGGAGATGATCTGCGTAGCAAAGCTTTTTATCCGTCACCCTCTGTCTGTGACAGACAGGGTGAGGCTGAAGGAGTCCAAGTAATCCACACATAGGACATCACAGCAAATTAGACCACAACTCAAATTAAAACAATTATTTTTTTGTGTGTGAAAGTAGTTTATTTGGATTCTTTTCTCCACAGATCAAATCATACATAAGCTCATGTACAGTAATATAGCATCTATGACAAACATACAAAAATCACAGCATGAGAAAATACAATGAAGAAGAACTAAGAGTCGGCTCAGATCAATCACCTAGAAAATAAAACCTCTGAATGTTGTACATATTTCATAAACATATCTTACAATGACATTCATTTGCTTATTCACTCTGCAGCCATTTTTTCCTTCCCTTAAAAGTAGATTCAACTTGTTAAGCTACCGACACAATCTCTAACAAGTTCAACTCTTATAAATCAATATTACTTTCAGTAACTCTCTAAAAGGGTTCCCTGCACCATTAACATCGAATGTGTTTGACCTTGTGTGTTAGCTTACAGATATTTAAAACATGTATTCCATTTGCATATTTTTGAAGACAGTATTTAATGGAGTTTCATTTTTCTGAAGTCTAAAATCTAAAAAACCTTCTTGAAACGAGTTCAGTGGGTCGAGTAGGATTATTAAACAGCTGTGTTCAGTTCAGGACAATATGGCACTTCTGAATGAATGAATGAATGAATGAATGAATGAATGAGCACAGTGTGGTATCCTTACTTATATATATATGTATGTATACTTCATTTCATGCCTTTGAGCCATTCAGTTATGGATTAGCTGTATTATGCTTATCTTGCTGCATAACCCAAGAACACTTCAGCTCAAACAATAAAGATCTGTAGATATTAAGGTTGATCACAGTCAATACATTAAAAATGCAGAGGGACTATGTATTCACATAGGGCCAGCGTAGATTATAAAGGCAACTATCATTTGAAGATTGCTGTGTGTTTTTACTCAGATCCCTTTAGACTAATTGTAAAATGTGATGATCTTGGCCTGTTGGACTGGTGACCTGTCCACAATGTAACCTGTGTTACATCACACAGGTTACACAGATGAAAACTGTTTTTGGAGATACGCACCAGCCCCCTGAAGACCATGCCTTTTGTTGCAGGTGCAATGAAAGTCCCAGAAACAGAAGAATTATTTAAAGGGGCAAATATTGTTTTCCCAGCACCAACAGAGAGAGAGAGAGATGAAATAGTTTTACTTATCTGGTTGTACCACATGCCTTGGCTTTCTCATCAAGGCTACCGTCATTGAATTTTAATGTTGCTTTACAAATGTACATATTTCTGTTCTTCAAATGTCAGAGGTAGCAAAGTGTGTGGGAGATATCCATGAGCCCTCAGTTCACCACTCATGGACATAGTTTGTACTGAATGGCTCAGAAATTTACATTACACCCTAAGCTGGTATATGTCTAGCACTTTGAAGTCCCTTTATGGATTTTTCTACCAAAATGGGAAATTCATGGATAAAGAAGGTGCTAAAACCTCAGCATTGTAGCTAACTTAACAAATCATGGAGACAAAGCAGGACTAAAGAGTGTCAGTAACAGCCATATGTATCGTCATAAATCATATGTATCATCACAGACACATTTCAGCCACTTGAATGACTCAAGTATCAACTGGTCCAAGCAGCTCATACAAAATGATCACTAATAGCATCTGCAATGTGAAGTTATAGTACAGTGATGGTGACTAGATTTTAACCACTAGTATTTCTAAAGAAATACCAATGAGCTTAAGTGTTTCAAAGTTCATACTGGGCTTGTCATTATTGTAAAGATTTATTGTATAAATTGTCCCAGTTTACACAAGTTGTACAAGTTGTAAATCTTTAACATAGAACCTGGATACTCAGGTAGAAACAGACGAGCCTCACTACAACTGTTCACTTCACCGTTAAAAACAAAGCTACTTCACACCAGTGGGAGGTCAACACCACCACCAGATCTGCTAATGTTAGAGTAAAATTATTAATACATTCAATCACCTATGCTATATTAAAAACTAACATCACTTAGATTTACCCATGTCACATTTCTCAAGAGTAATGAAGGCCACAAAACTCAATAACCTTAATTATGCAAATTCAACAGAAGCAATAATGTCACCTTCCTGAAATAATGACCTACATCTTTTTGTTTTTTTCCAAAAGTGATTTATTTTTTTTGTCTAAATCATCTTTTGGTCAAAAAAAAAAGACATGTTAGGAAAGTGACAATGAGATAGTCTGGAATTATTGAGAACATTTCATGTATCCAAACGGGACCAAATGACACATCATAGTTGGTGCTGCAACGTCTGAATGGGGGAATCACAAAGTGGATGAAACAAATTCATGGCACTTTCTCATATTTGTACTGGTATGGTATTCTTTCCCCCCATCCGCCTTGTGGTGGTGTAGATAATGATAACAGCTTACCTGCTCTGTAAATTGCAACACGCATTGAACCGACGTAATGATGCAGCCAGTTTGATCTATAACATTATTTATTTTCTGCAGAGACAGAATACTGTAACCAATTTCAATCTGTTTTTTTCCTTTAAGCATTTTTTCTTAAAAAGCTTACTTAGCATTCTGTTCCACATGTAAAAAAACGCAGACGTATGCAGAGGCAAGAGATCTCAACATGGTCATCCTAAATTCTGCTCTCTTCTCTCCCTGCTTCTCTCTGAGCTCTTCCTGTCAGATAACTTTCAAACAAACAAAGGCCACAAAGAAAGACATTTTAAAGAATGAACGATCATAAACAAAACCTCAGCACTTACAAACATGTTCATCTGTTACTCACATGGACAAACTTGATGGTATCCCTCTGTTAATGAATGACTGGTACCAGCCGTTTGAAACCGACCAGTTCAGAATGGTGCAACATTTCTTTCTTATCCATTCTTAGGTTTTTCTCGCTGTGTTTGGGCCGTTATCCTGTTGGAAGACCCCTGGCCTACACCTAAGACCAAGTTTTCTGACAAGATTGTCGATTTTTGTCCAAAATGCCTTGATAGTCTCAAGATCTCATCGTATCCTGAACCCACTGACAGATGTAGGAAAGCTGCCCCTGATCAGAACTGAGTCTCATCCATGTTTCATAGTATATTTTTTTTATAACATTTTTTTGATATGAATCAATTTTGGTCTCTGAATGCAGATCTGTTTCATGTTGGTAAAAACATCCAGTATTGTCTCGTTTGTCCAAAGGACATTTTCCCAGAAGAGCTATGGCTTGTTAATATGCAATATAACAAATTCCAGTCTCGCTTTTGAGTAATTTGCTTTTAACCGTGACTTCTCCCATGAAGTCCACTTTGGCTCAGACAAGATGTATTGTTCAGGCTGATGGACCGTGACCTGTAATTGTGTTATGTTGAGGGCTCTTTGGTTTCCATTTGTATTCTCCTTCTCTTCAATCTGTCATCAATTCCTCTCAGTCATAGGAGCATCAATCTGCTTAGCGGTGCGCTGGTAGTCTTTACCTTTTGCATGTTTTCTTTCTAATCTTCTGGGACAAATCTCTCCTTTGCTTCCTGTGGTTCATTGTGGTTTCCTTGGTTCATTTTCAAAAGGATTCTGTTGAATCACAATTCAAAAGCAAACCCTGATTTGTCAGTTTCAGGTTATTTCAGTGGTGATTGTGGGGTACCAGCAATTTTGTTCATGTGTGTAAACAGTAAAATGTGTTTTTCACCAAAAACGTTAAAATGTCTGGTATGAGGTTGATTTGTCACAATGACTGGAACTGGAAAGCTGAACCTTCCCAGGAGGGTTACACCAGAACAGTTCAGGTCCTCCAGCTTCCTCAGTTTTGTTGTTCTCTCTGTTACATCCAGTATTCAAAGTTTTGAGATGATGATCAGTCACAACAAGAACAATATGCTGTCAAATCTTAGCTTGAAATAGCACTAGACTATTTTCAGCCAGGTTCAAGTGAGGACAGAGTTGGACTTGCTCAAAGTTGATCTTCTTCAGTTACACACAACTGACGCTCTAACAACCACTCCACACTTAGGATCTTGTCAAAGATTTCTCCGGTCCGTATTGTTATAAGTTAGCTGGTAATGTTTTGGACAGCAGAGCCGAGCTGATCTCAGGTCTGGGTGAGGGGACACACACAGATCCCATCCTGTTGAGCGAAGTGGCCTTTGTTATGCCCTCACTGCCCACCGTAGACAAAGGGAAGCTCTCATAGCTCTCGCCTGCCCGGGTACCACACTGGCAGCGCTGCAGCGTCGTCCGCAGCTCCCGCTGGAAGTTGCTGTTGAGGAAGCCGTACACCACGGGGTTGATGCACGTGGAGGCCATGGCTGTGAGGTGGCAAGCGGAGAAGACAGCGTCATGCTGACATTTTGGCAGGGCCTGGTGATGCCAGTCAAACAGAGTGTTGAAGACATTCAGAGGGAGCCAGCAGAGAGCAAACGCGATGACGATGGCTAGCAGCATGACATTGATCCTCTGCGCTCCCCGGGTCCTCCTGCTGCGCTCCAGCATGTCCCTGCACAATACAGAACGTGCCCATTACCACAGCGTTCACTGCTGAGGCTTCACCTCAGGCAGGATTACGCAACAAGAAGAGACATATAGAGTGTCGACTGAGAACAAAAACGTGGTGTCAAAGCAGTGGATTGAAAGACACCTGTGGTGAGAAGACTTTTGAAGTGCATGAGGGAGAGTGTAGCTGTGTGACCTGCGGCGTCTCAGGCGCATGAAGATCCTCAGGTAGCAGAGCAGCACCAAGAGGAGAGGCAGGCAGTACTGGAAGATCAGCAAAGAGGTTGTGTAGGCAAGGCGATGTTTGTCTGACGGCCACAACTCCATGCAGATCAAATGGTCCCTTAGACATGTTAGGAAAAAAATAAAAATATATATTTCAACATATAAACTTCAAGAAATGTTGTTTTTGTGGCAAGGTTGAAAGGTTAGTGCAGATTTAGTACTGAAGTGACGTTATCAGAAACCTTTAGAGTGGTGCAAGCTAAGATTATCTTAAAGGGGGAGTTTTATGTTAAAGCTACTCTTTTGAGTTTTACATCATGTTATGATATTATTCCCTCATCAAAGCATAGCTATAGTGTTGCTTTTATTCTTTTATGCATGTTTGAGAAATCCTTTAATCTCCACAGCAACCATTCAGCTGAGCAAAATGCCTGGGTGGACCTCGTCCCGACTGCAGCTCCTCCTTGGAGCTGCAGTTTCCCAAGTTTCTGAGCTTCCTCCTTACAGAGCAAACCTTCCCCATGACTAAACCCACTCAGCTCCTTCAGACTAGCCAACAGCAATTAGCAAATGCCTGGTGAAACTGGTAAAAACGTTGTTATGGGATTAATAGAACCAGGAATAGAAAGACCAGGAATATTTAAAGAGACAGAGTCCCAAGATGTTGAATTCTGACATCAATTGTCTTTTAAGTCATATTTGACACATGCAGCATTTTTACAACAATAGAACTTAACATAGTTACTTGATTGTGCAATAAAATGCCACTAAGTGCCTGGATAATAAATAATACTGCCCCTGCAAGATTGTTGGAAGGTTGGAATTGGGTCTAAAATCGGAATGAAAATCTTGCTGTGTGAGCCATGTGTATGCAGCACAGCTTTACCCGTATTTATTCAACCAGCCATCATGGCTCTCTGGGTTCATTCTCAACACAACTCACTAACCACTGAAGAAAAAGGATCCTGAAAGTTTCCTTAAAGCCTGAGCTTGTTTGGAATGCTATTTCCTGGTTTGATGAAGTTGGGTTTGTGTTTCTAGCTCCCACTGCTACAATTATGACTTCATGCCCATTCTTCACTCCCCGAGGTAATTCTCACGGGTTGCGTGTGCCAGGAGCTATCCTCAAATTCTGAAACCTGTTCTTAGTTTGCATTAGGGTATGAGCAAACATCATTTCATGGGGAAAGCATCACAGATGTTGCACTGCACAATCTAATGAGAATAAAAATGGCCTCAGCAGGCTCCTTTTCCTTCCACCTCAATTCCAGCTTCTTCACGTTATGCCAGGTAATGATGCACGCCCCGGGAAAACTGCCGAAGACAGGATGATGCTCCAGCTCTGTGCTTACCAAAATCAATTTAGCATCGACATCAGGTCTTACCTTGCAAAGATATTTATATTTGTATTTTGTATTTTTATATTTGTGTATGGAATTATTTTTAATTGCATGTGGCCGTCAATAGAAAGTCTTTTTGAGATGGAAGGGAAATAGTAAAGGTTTTTTTTTCTTAATTACCGAGAAATAAATAATGGGTGTGGCAAACTGGGATGAAGGAATCATACAGACACTTAAACGTGTCTTTAAGACTGAAAACACATTTAGACAAAGCAAAAAATAAAACTGCTTTCTTTTACGCTCACTCTTTCTGTTTTTCTCCTGCACAAGTTGGCCAAAATGACCAAGTGGGCTGTTAGTGTGCTGAACATTTGTGTCGATTCTATTCATCTAATCTCACATTAAGATTTGTCTGTGGCAAAACCTTCTGCCTCACCTGAACGGGTTGGAGGGCAGACTGATGTTCTGGAAGGGGTCATTAGTGAGGATGTTGAAGGACAGGAAGGGCAGCGAGATGAAGCAGCCGACCAGCCACGTGAGTCCCACTGCAAGGTAGGAGTGCCCGGCCGCGGGGGTCCAGCCGGTGGGGTGGAGGATCAGCTGGTGGCGCTCCAGAGCGATGAGCACGAGGGAGAAGATGGACACGGTCACAGACATGCACTGGACAAAGGGCGTCACCTGGACAAGGCCAGAACAAACACCTGTCTAGTTAAGGCATTCAGTGACAGTCACTCATTTCTGAAACAAAATCTGCATATAGATGGAATATTGACTTTGTGTTGAGTCTGTATTTAGTGAACTGTGTTTCTCTGTGTTTGTATCATCTGTTTTGAAGAGGAAGCCAATTTGTGGGAAAGATGATTTTTGACGGGTGAACCAGACATGGCAGTTTGACATAGAGGGGAGTTTCTCTCCCAGGCAGTTTGTCCATCCACTGAGTTATGTGGATGAATAAAAAAGCAAATGTTGATGGGAGGTTCTGAACTGATAGCTCCAACTTCACAGTCTCTGTATAAAGCACTAGCTAGCAGACAACGCGACTAAAGAAACACACGGATGGTTTCTCTAGATCTTGCTGAGACATTAGTCCTCACAGAATATGTTCCTTCTTCTTTATAACTACACACCACTTTGTGTTGGTCTGTAACACCAAATCTTAACAAAACATGCTGAAATTTGTTGTTCTGATGTGACAAAATGTGAAAAAGGTCAAAGGTTATGAAAACAATTGGATCCATCTTCCCATCAGGTGTGACCTGCTGACCTTACACAGGGCCTCCCCCAGCACCCAGTGGTCCATCAGTGTGTAGATGACAGTGACCGGCAGACACACCACGCACATCAGGATGTCCGAGCACGACAGGTTGGCGATCAGGATGTTGGTGACGTTGCGCAACTCCTGTTGCCGGGTGATGATAAATACAAGGCCTGCATTGCCCAGCAACCCGATGGCAATGACTGCACTGTATGCTACAATCAGGAACGTAGCGCCGCCCACTGAGGGTGGGCACTGCGAGGTGTCTAACCAATCAGTGGCCTCCAAGAAGGTTGTGTCGTTAGACATGGCAGTTGGATGGAAGACGGGGAGGGAAGCGGATGGGATGGGTTGGTGGGTTCAACTCGGAGGCCTGAGGCTGAACTCCTACAGGGGATCAGAACGGAGATGACAGGAGGACCAGGAGAGGAGAGGAGGAAGCAGAGAGGAAGCACAGGTCATGAGCAGGATTCAGGAACGTCTGATGGAGCTTCAGAAGCATGACTGATACAAGTAGAAATTCAAATGTAGAAGTTGTCCTGTTGTTTCTTCTCTGTCAGCATCGGTGGATCAGCTCTGCATCAGCAGTTTCCTGCAACAAAACAGAAAAACAATGCAGAGTAATGAGGACGGCTCACCAGGTGGGAGAAGTTGAGGAAGATCAGTGGAGATGAGGGACTGAATAAATTAGCTCATGCTGTTCTTCTTCTTCTCTTCTGCCTGGTTTAGTTCGCTCCCAGCAGAGCCGCTCTGCAGCCTCCACAGACAAGCCCGGATTTTATCATGGCTTACTGGGGCTGCAGCCCGGGGATGCTTCGTATTTTTATGAATGAATAAAATCAGAATGTCTTAATTTCATCATTGGCTAAGAGGATTTGGGCGATGTTGTTGAAAAAATGTTTGATTTGTTCTGGTAAACAAATGAATAGACATACTCAACCTGTTCAAGTATTTCTTTAATAACTATTTTGTGTAGTAATGATCTTTACATTCATTAAAGGGGCACCGGTAGCAATTTTCTGGCCGATCACCGATCTTTGGATCATGGAGTGACTGTTGTAAACCTGGTGGTTGGGACTGTCCATCAGCCGTCTCTCATTTTGTGACCTTGTAGGAAGATAATGTTTGTGGATAGGATCGGTTCCACAAGTAAGTCATGGCCAACCGCCGACCACCCAGAGGGAAGGAAATCAGGGATACTGTATATGTATGTAACTGTATAACTATGATTACGTCCGGCCCTACCCACAGACACTCAGACTTGATCTGAGTGTGCGTCTGCTGAACCGTCACTGCCTTTCGCTTTGACGGGAAATCTAAAATGAGCCCAGGGAGTCCGCTTACTTCAGCGCTGCAGAAGACTCAGGCGGTCTGCTGCCCAGACGGCGACATTAAAACTGAATGGGAAGATAAAAAAACACACCTAAGAGACGACAAGAAAGACCAAAGATGAATGGACAGGAAGACAGTCTCCAAAGAGCAAATGTCACGGAAGAAAATCATTACAAAGCTCTGTCAAATAAAACTTCAATTCAGCTGCTGGGGAGAACTGAGGAGAAAATGACTGATTTTCTGCTTGAGTTTGATGTCCTTGTCCTTCACTCCTCCCTTTGGTCACTGCTGTAATTATCTTGACCATTTCTGCTCGTCTCTTGTCAGCCTATGTCTGTATGTACTGTATTGTGCTCTCTTTTCTTTGAACCCAGGAAACCTGGCATTTTAGCTGGTGTTTGTGGACTTTGGTTCGTTTTTGATCAGCAAAGAGTCTTTGACTGTCATCAAAAGAACTTTTGAGGCAACAATTTCCAACCGTTATCCCAATTCAGCTCCAGCAGCAACGTGCACGGACACGTCTGAGGCAGACAGAAAGGACAAGTGACGTAAAAGAAAAGCGCCCCAATGCACAGAAAATAGAAATATTCATGCTAACATCTGTGAGAAGAGGTTCACAGAAATACTTTCAATCTAAAGCTGATTTCAGTTCCATGAGCTGCTGAAAACCTGATCAGAAGAGACGAGTTGGAGACTGATGGCAGAGCAAACCCTTCAATCCAGCAACACATCTCCATATAGAGGGAATTTCATTTGATTGCATAGGGAGCAAACACATCTATCTGTTATCAATTTATATATATATCAAAAGTCAGAGGTACATTTACTCTTTCTGGTCTGATTTTATGCATCATAGACTGAAATGTTTTTCTTTACGTTTGTAATGTTTTTTCTGCATATATATTGTATACGTACATAGCCAGGAGCTTTATGCTCCAATGCCTGCTTATAAAACATAATCGTCTCCTCTGATTGGCTGAGATAATGAGGCTGATAGACCACAGTTAAATTATGAATACATCTCATGCAACTGTCTATATCCATCACTTTTAATGACTTGTAGCATAAACAAGCTTAACTATGTGTGATATTAATTTCATTTCTTAATTGATGGTTACGTTGTAATTGCAAAATTGTGTTTTTGCAACATTAGCAGAAAACAAATGAAGATCTCTACACATGTGTAATGTATTCACACCTGCCAGTTCCTGGGTTCTGTGCTGGATTCTACCCTCATGCACCTCACCTGATGTGATCTGGTCTGCCTCTGTTGTTATTAGTCTATAACTTCATGAAGCTCTTTGTCTGGGTCCTTTCATCCCTCAAATCCTGACAGAAGAACCTGGCTAACCTGTGGACCCGACAGGGCTTCATGCTCTAAAAAGACAGCCAGGATGCATCTGAACGTCATGGCTGGTCTTACCCTCCATGGAGGAGAGTTAGTGCTGATGAAGTCTCTCGATGAGTTTAAACCTTTCCTTTGATTTGATGAATCAGCTTGGCAAGAAGCCGCCTGAACCTCAGCCGCAACCTGGTTGACCAAACCTGTGAAGCTATTGGTGCATTTAAGTGCTCTGCACTGGTGTAGAGTTAAACAAATGAATTTGTAACTCAGTATGTGTCTGTATTCAAAAAAAGAAACATTTTAAGACAATTCAGTGCTGCTTTTTTGTATCAGGTCGGTATTGACCGATACTAAATCTTAAATATCGGTATCGGAAGTGAAAAAGTGTATCATGCATTCACAAGTGATTTCTCATCATTTTTGCTCTTAGCTAAAAAGAACCCTGTGCCTTCATGAAAATGTCCTGCAGTCATGGGAAATGACATTAATATACCATTTCCCCTGGTTTATCAATACCATTAAAAAAAAAAATTGAATATCTTTGTTAGTATCGGCTTCAAGTTTGAAATTTTAGTATTTTGACAACCCTGTAAAGGTTGATAAATTTGACACCGGCAGAGAACTGAACCATTATTCTGTGAGGAGAGAGCCAAATGTCCAAAACAGCCCAGCATATAGAGCATAAAGATTAATCAAGTCAGAGAGAAAATGACAGTAACTACAGCTCAGATTGGTTCTACAAGCTTTTGAATGACATGGTTCACCTAATTACTTTCTGTCACAGGAACTTGTTTCCCCAGCACTGTACATATGCATGAATGCAATGGGTTGGTTGTCACCATTGCTGCTGCCATCCTCTGTGTGTGCAGAGCGCCGTCTGTCACTGCATTTTCCATCTTTTCTGTCATTCGCTCTGGCCCCCGAGGGACGGAGCTGCCAAAGAATGAGACACACTCGCAGGTGTTGCTGCTCCTCCGCTTTGACTCACCCGCTTCCACCCACCCCAGATAACATTCATCAGAAATCCTGCTATCTGCCGCGCTGTTGTTCCCGCGCACATCATGTACACACAATCCTGTTTACTTGAACATGTTCAGTCACCTGGAGGATCTGAACTGTGCAGACTGGATGCCACACAATAGGACTGATCTGAAATTAGGCACACAGACATGTGACATTGAGTCTGAGTGGTGACTATGGTTTGGAGCTTTTTATAAAAATAGATTCTTAAACGTGATGTTTTAGCCATGTGTCTCCCTACTGAGTGTCAGTTATTGCTAGATGCACAGAATCTGAATGTGTTGGTGTCGTACCATACACAGCAAACCCAGCATGCCTAAATTATCACTCAGGTTTGATTTCAATATTTTTAAAGTGTCTACATGGGTCCATACCAGAGAAAGAGAGACTTTAAATCTGTTTTGGAGAGTTGGTACCTTAACTCTGTCAAGTACTAAATATGCCTGTAGTTAATCATTCAACTCCAGGCATATTTTGTGTTAAATGATTAAATATGAACTCTGTTAGTCATGTGACTCATTTTCATTGCAGTTTTAAAAAATACATCTATTTTGATACGGCTGAAAAACCACCTCATCCCAGTGTCAAAACTTCTTCAAATTGCCTTGCTTCCTTTAAGCAAATTTATTTTCATCATTTCGGTTTGCACAACACCATGTATGGTTTATGGAAACACAGACACTGATAACCCTGATGGTTATCTTCATACGGAACTGAAGGGCATATTGTGACAAATACTCTGGAGCACAAAAATCCAAAATGTTCTTTTCAATGACTGGAGAAAAGTCAGTGACAGAAAAGTCTGAGCTTCAGGTTTTCATCCTGTTACTAAACCATAAGGCTGTGATACTGGATATTCAACCAATCTACTCCATTCTCACAGTGCTATGAGTTTCCTGGTGCTTAGTATATTGAGTAGTACCTGTATTATTTTTATGAACCTGTTCCACAACCAGGAGAATTTAATTCTTCCACTTTGCAACTGTGACAGGACAGGATCGTGCACTACCAAATGAAAGCCACAAGAGCGCTTTGCATGGGATATCCCACTAGTCTTAGAAAACAGATGGATGAGCAGTACAACACAGAACAGGACTCCGTGATATGATTCATGCATCTCAGTGTAGTTTCCTGTAAACAGAGCAGGGCAGAGTTAGAGTGGAGAGCTGCACGGCTCTCTGGAAGTGACAAGCTGTGAAATTCATTGTGCTCACTCCTGAACGCGCTGCAGCCGTGAATAACACAGAAATAAGTTTGGCCTCCAAATATTTCCTGTGACTGTTTGCATGTGGACACAATGACAGACTCCATGCAGCAGAAACGTCTCTGCAGTGGCTGTGGTGCATCACAGCGGCCTTCACGGGTCAGCAGATATTCTAGCTGCAGGTAGGAGTTCTGTCTATCAGCTGCTCTAAACACAGGAATCAAGGTTAGAATAAATTCTTCTATTCCTCTTCATAAAGCATCATATAAGACACATTAGGTCAGGAGTGTACAAAGTCTGTCCTCAAAGGGACGCATCCTGCATGTTGTCCTTCTCTCTGTCTCAAAACACCTGGATCAATGATGGCCTCTCAGAACTTTATTTTGACATTTCAAAAATAAATTTGCTTAAAGGAAGTAGTAAGGAAGTTTGAAAAATTCTTGTTTTTAATAAAATGATTTTGGTGCTAAAATGAGGTGGGGGGTTTTCAGCCATATTGAAGTTGACTTACTTTGTAAAAGTGCACATCACATGACTGACATGATCAACAACCAGATGCTGCTACTGGCACAAACAATGAAGAAGAAGACGACCAGAAGTATTTGAGGATCATTGAGCATCGTATAGTTCATGACTTATTAAGTGAACAAACTTATTCATGTGTCATTTTAATCTCACCTTCTTATTTAAAGGAAAAAGCACAATTGCAAAATGATGTTTTTATTTTCATAAGTAAAATATTGACTGAGCCAGGCATTAATACACTCATAACGAACGGCAATTTAGAGAACCTCATTATGTTCTGAGTTCATATTTTTGACC